TTTTTTTTAAGTGAATTAGTTAATGCTGCTGGCCATTTGTGGCACTGTAGGATAAGGTCGCTTTGAAGCCCAAGATTGGTGTTTCAAGCCCACCAGTGACTCCGGGTCACTGAGAGTCGAAACCGACGAGACGGCACACAACAACAACGAGTCAGAACAGACTCAAAGGCACGCAACTATCTCTACTGGAAGCACGGTGACTCTAAATTCACAGCACTGCGAGCCAAAAAGCCAGCGGTTCGAGCCCAGCAGCCGCTCCTTGGGAGAAAAATGAGGGTTTCTGCTCCCGCAAAGATTTACAGCCTCGACAACCCCATACAGGGTAGCTGTGAGTCAGAACCAACTCCAGGCCTCTTAAAAGCAGCCACCTCTACACTTGATTAAATCCACCGTTGTTACCATGCTCAGAAGAAGACACACTAGACTAAAACCTAGGCAAAGTATTCAAAATGCACTGTTCTCAGTCAGAGCCTATTGAAATTATTAGTTGTCTTCCAGTAGATACTGAGTCAGGGATACATGGCTAATTTTAACCGCATTCGTTACTACAATTTGGAACTATACTCCAATTGCTTTGCCACTGTCTTCATTCCTCTTTGCCTTGAGAAAAAAAGTTAAAAGAGCAGAACTAAATCCTTCACTTTACAGCTGAACAAACGCGTTAACGTGCTTGTGTAACTATTGGCTTTGCTGGCCACGAGGCTTTCTTCAGCAATAAAGCGAAGGGCTTGGATTTGATTCTGCTCTGTAATTTGTTCTCAAGGCAAAGAAGAGTGGGAAAAAATGACAGAGGAATGAAAGTACAGCCATGAACCGTTAAAATGGGCTCTTTCAAGAAATTTCCAGGTTATTTCCATAAATAAATTCTGTGCCATATGTTGTCTGCTTTTTTAACATACGAAGGTGAATCCAAAATTATCTGTGTTCTGGCTGTGTGATTTATTTTAATCAAGTTTTAGAAAAGACAAATACATCATTTTTCGACATAGTTGCTTTGCTTTTCAATACTTTTCCATCTGTCAACAAGCTTTTGTATTCCCTTATTTAAAAGCGTTTTAGGCTGAGTTATGAGCTGCAAATGCACTGCTGTCTTCACTTCTTCATTAGAGGTGAATCTTTGTCCTTGAAAAGCTGCTTTCAGAAGACCAAACAGGTGAAAGTCCTGTGGAGCAAGATCAGGACTATAGGGAGAATGCTTTAACACCTCACAACCAAATTTTTTCGAAGTGTCTACAGTGTTGGCAGAGGTGTGTGGGCCTGCATTGTCATGCAAGATCAGATCGCAATGCCCTTGGCTAGCAGTCCTCTGCATTTAATGTGAAATTTAGTCTTCAGCTCCTCAGTGAGCAGCTCACTGTAATGAGCACTGTTGACTGTTCAGCCTTTTTCCTGGTAGTGTTCCATTACTGACCCTTGAGAACTCCAGGGAACGGTAAGCTTCCATTTTCCAGCTGATGGTTGACTTTTAAACTTTTTCTTGGTCAGCGATTGAGGATGTTTCCATTTCATACTCTGCCATTTACTCCCAGGCTCATAGTGATGAGTCCATGTCTCATCACCACTAACAATTGTTGTAAAGAAACTTTTAGCTTCCTTCATGTTATCGGTCTGAATTTTATTTGCAGATGTCCAAATGCTTCTGTTTATGCTCTTCATGAGTTTTTCTGAACTTCTCTTGCAAAAACTTTAAGAAACCCAAATTTGTCAGGAATTATGTTCCGGACAGAGACATGGCTGATTTGTAGATGATTTGCCACGTGATCCATTGTCACTCATCATTGAAAAGAATCGTTTCACGTATGGACTCAATGTTGTTATCAGCCGTGGATGTGGACGAGCATTTCAATATAACCGGAGTGTGGATAACTTTAGACTTATAAATAAGTGTTGTTGCTGTTGTTGTTAAGCGCTGTCGAGGTGATTCTGACCCATAGCAACCCTGTAGAGGCTTTCCAAGGAATAGCTGGAGAGCCTGAACTACCGACCTGGTAGCTCAACTGACTTTGCAGTCTGACGCATTTGCCCACAGTGCCACACTAGAACTCCGTAAATAAGTGTTGTTGTTGTTGTTGAGTGCCATCAAGTCGGTTCTGACCCACAGTGATCCTGTACAGGGTTTCGAGGCTGTTTCTGTAAATCTTTATGGGAGCAGAGAGCCTTACCTTTCTCACATAAAGCGGCTGGTAGTTTTAAACTGCTTACCTTAAGGTTCGCAGCCCGACTCATCACCACTACACTACCAGAGCTCCTTAAATAAGTGTAGTCACTTGTTAAATAATTTTAAATGACTTTTCCTGGAGTTTCCCTAGGGAAGGTCATATTTCTATGGCTTCCAGATACCAGATCATCTATGTAGTCCGAGAGTATTAAGTATCCCAATAGGAAAACAATGACAAGACCTAAAGAGAACAATTGGATCAGTTCACGTCCTTCACACAGCTGTTGTTAAGTGTGGTTGAGTTGGTTCCGACCCAAAGACCCTGTCCAAGGTTTCCCAGGAGCTGCTCATGGATTTGGACCACTAATCTGGTGATAAGCAACCCAGCGCTTGTCCTACAATGCAACACCAAGATTCCTTCACACAGTTGGGACAACCCAAATGGCTCTTTCAGTTTTAGCTCCCTTTTCACTCCACCATGGGAGTAGGGTATTCATTGCTCCCTCCACCTAGATTGGTACAACTCCCAGTGCATTACCATCTATGAAAGGCAATATGAATGATAACAGCTAAGTGTAGTCATTTATTTTGTGCCAGTTCTACTACAGAGCCTGCCATCACCTGGCAGTTCATTGTACAAGGGTAGCTTCTTCCTATAATACTGAAGGTTTTGTCGCTGGTATTCCAAATACCACCAGGGTCACCCCTGGTGGACAGGTTTGAATGGTGTTTCTAAACTAAGAAAGACTAAGAAGAAAGGCCTGCCAATCTACTTCCAAAAATTAGCCAATAAAAACCTGTTGGCTCATCACAGAATGATGTGCGGAAAGATACACCCCCAGATTGGGAGTCACTAAACATTTACTCTAGACAGAACAACAGACAAGCTTATACGGTCATGAAGCACTGGGTCTGCCAGCATGTTGCCCTGTCAGTTTGTCATACTGTGGTGGCTTGTGTGTTGCTGTGATGCTGGAAGCTATGCCACTGGTATTTTAAATACGAGCAGGGTCACCAATGGTGGACAGGTTTAAGTAGAGCTTCCTGAGTGAGGCAAACTACGAAGAAGGAAAGG